TTGGGCTATTTGGCTGCAGGAATTCAATAAGAGCTCAGCTAATGACTTGAGCAGATCCCAGTTATCGGTGCTGATGAGACGCCCTCTGCCCGCGCTGTACGCCTACAGTGTGTAATGGGCCTCCCACTCAGTACAGTACGTCCTCCCCTCAGGGTATATCTGCGACATGATATTGCCTGGGGGAGTCCACCTGATCCTCTTGTTAGGGAGCTAATAGCTATTGACACTCGTCTTAAGGAAGTGAACTGCCCAATAGTGCTGACATCCAGGGGATGGTAGCATTCTTGTATTATACATGGGGGGAAACTGTCTGAGAGAGGGTGCTTTAAGTGAATGTATGAATTGATTCATGTCTGAATAAACTTGGGAATGCAACAAGTATTTCAACAAGGGTTTTATATTTCAAAAAGAAAACTTTAATATTATTTTATACTGTCTGCCTACATTTTAAAATACAATTTAAAAAAAATAATAAATTAATAAATGTTATTTGTCTTCTTCAAGTGTTGTGTTGTACTGAAGGAATAGAAATAGGTACTGTATACTATTGGCCCTGTGGAAATTTGTCCTCTGCATTTGACCCCTCCTCAAATTCCACAAATAAAATCTATGAGTGAGCCTGATGCTCAGTTTGATCACAACTGGCTTCGCTGGAGGATTTTACCTGTGGTGGATATTTGGGGCGGTGAAGGAGAGTGCCCAATGAGAAACATACAAAGCAGGGCCCTGGGCTTGGCACAGGGTTCAAACCCTTTAATATAAGGGTAACCTGGAAGACACCTTTCTGTTCTGGCCTTTTCTTTTTTTTGGTCAATACATTGCACATTGTCCACTGTCCCTGAAATGAGAGAGTGATGACCCTTCTCAAGCCATAAAAACACCTTTCCAACCCCATAAAGGTTACCCTAATTATCTAAAGTAGTCATTAAATAAATGATGATGACTTTAAACAAAGCGCTAAAAAACTGCTGAGCCACCACACAATGAAAAAGAGGAAAATGAGGTTCAAACAAACATTTCCTTCCATTTCCATTTATACAGTTTCACATTGTATTGTAAATTTTGAGAAATGAGATTAATATATTGTAAAGTAGCTAATTAAGCATCCTAATTTGATCCTTGTAAGGGCATGTTCAACTGTGCTTTGTGTTTCCCAGAGGTTGTCGGTTAGATCCCCAGGCAGCCTTGCATTGTGTTCGCATGGGTCAATGACTCTGTATCCAAAAGAAAGAAAAACTGCCACAAAGCATAACCACAAAAATCAAACAAAAGTGCATTATTGACTTCTCTTTTCTCACATTCACTTACTGTATATAGACAACGTTCAATATGAGGCTTAATTCTAATGTGCAACTTGACCCAAGCAGCTCCTTTGCTCCATAACCACCACCTGCCATTTCTTATTGAAAGGCAGACACTCAACAACATCACACTGAATTGTGAGAGCTCCATTTTCCCTGTCCGTTATCGCAGTCTGTAAACACCAGCAACCAAACCGCTTGCATCACTTTCAAATTGAATACTGTCAACATTATATTGACAATAAAGTCTCAAATTTTCCCTAAAAGAAAAATCGCTATATTTTAACGCGCCTTCTTTGGTATATGAGCTTTGGCATTGTAAACAGCACAGTACACTAGCCAGTATAGAATCCAATGAAAATGATAATGTCGGGAACAATGGCCCCAGGCGGGATCGGTGGAGCGGCGGCGTGCTCGACTCTGCCGCGGTTACAAGGCATCACTTTCCCTTTATTAGGAGTAAGCATGATTGTTAGACGTGCCTGCATAAATATTTGGGGGTAAATACGCACACTATATCATTTTTGGTCACACTTGGGTTGCGTTATGATTTCCATGCAGGTGAAGCGGGGTCACCGGGACTAAATTACTCGGGTCTTGGAAGCAGCTGCGACGCCCCCTCTCTTTAACCATGCTTGGGTGGGTAAGCTATCAAAAGCCGCTTGTACATGCATCATAAAAAACATTGCGTGTGTGTTTAAAATGGTATTAAAATGCTGTTGACCCTTAAAATTAGAAAAGGGAATGGTGCCACTCTTTGCATGGCAATTATTTCATGTCCATCTAGCACACATTGGATGCATGACCTGGGCCTCTATGAGATTTATTGACAGAAGTGGAATGGTTGGTTTATGACAATGGGGCGTGATGACATCATAGCATAAAGCGGTGTGCGGGGTCAGCTGACTCTCGTGTGTTTGTTATGCATGAATATATGAATGTGGAGTGGGTCAGCTGTTAACATTGGCTTTCTATGATGTATTGTGACTTGTGTAGCTACAGTGTGGTTTTTAGGACTAATACTGTCATGTCTGTGAGTGAACGCAATATACACTGGTACAAGACGAATAATTTATAAAGTTGAATTCCCCGCTGTCTGAAATTAAACTTCGGACGTTTCTTTCAACAGTTATTTTGACTTATTTGTTAAAAGTAAAAAAAACATCTTGTGGTCGAGTGAAGTCAAAGTGGAATTTTTTTGAAAGTTGTTCTTGATTGATAATCAAAATGAAAATATTATACATCTGAAAGCCTGATCCTCTCTCAGAAGCTAAGCAGGGCAGGGCTTGGTTCATATCGTGATGGCAGACCTGTGGGAACACCAGGGGCCACGGTGGATCACTACAGAGCACTACAGAAAGTCCATTTACACCATTAAGTGAAGCAGTTCGGACAAAACAATAAATCTCCAAGAAAACGGCAGACCTTCAAAAAGTTACCTTCAACATTCTTCATTATACACTGTATCAAATATGTATTATAGGATAGGAGTAATTGCAGTCATAAAATTACTTGTGTTTTTATGCGGATTAACTCATGACAGAACGAAATGGCAGGATTTCTGTAATAATGCACTTATTTTCATATAAACTTTCCCTAAAGTTATTATTAAAGCTATAGCTGGAACACTTCTTGTGGCTAAGACAATAATGAATCACTTCTAACTGACCTAGATAAATGAATAAGTTGAAACCTAATAAATTCATCAAATTTGCTAAAACTTTCCTTAATTGGGTCATAAATAGCCTGTCATTGCGTCTGGATTATTCACGGCCCTTATTTAAAAAGTAGTGCCAGTGTTTACGCTGAGGTGTTATGGTAAACATTGTACTGACAAATGATTTGATCTCTTCCAGTCCATGACCTACATTGTTTCATTAGGCTGTGCATGCTCCTTACAAATTTGGCTGCTGTTGTGGCTTTGTACAGAGTTGGTGTAGAAACTGTAAGCACAGGCTATTATGATCATTTAGCTTACTTATAATAATTAGCTGTTGTATATTCATTAGCCTTTTAATTGGTTAACTCTGGGGACCACCAGCAACTCCAGTCAGTCAAATGCAATAATGATAGGGTTGCTTCATGCACGTGCACACACAGGCCGACATACATATCCTTCTTCATCGCCACCAGTCAACTTTCTGCAGTAGCAATAGCAACATTACCTTGGATTTATTAAAGAGCAGACTTTATATTTCATTGCCCTTAAAAGTTCTAGATGTGTATCTTAACATGTACATATTGCTCTTGGCAAAATAAGTTAATCAATTTGAGCATAGATGTTTGTTCACAAAAAGCCACCACCGGGGAGCTCGTGCACTCCAGCGGCTGCAGTACCAAAGAATAAAGCCATTTTGACAAGGTTAAAAATAGCAGTAGTTAAGTGAGGACAATTGGAGCACTGAAAGGAAGTTTGGCAAAGGGGACTGGAGGAGCATCATCCACCGAGATTACATCACACGTTTAAGTGTTTTTTCAATCTAACTCTTGCTTTAACATTTTGCATTTAATTTCAATGTTCAAAGTCAATATTCAGCTAATAAAGGTATTCTTTTCTATTTTCACAACATTATTATATCAATATACATCATTTTAGAATACTTAAAATAAAGTTAATGTTGCTAAATGTAACACCATAGCAGCTGTAGCTATAGGGTCCAGCTGCTATTGGGTTGATTGGTCAGAGCTGATCAGGAGCTGTTTTGTCGTGACCGTCAGGTGCAATATACCACGGACCGCCTTTCAATGTCCTGCCCTCCACCAGTTTACCAATCAGAAAGACCGTGATCCGGCTTGCCAGAACTCACTGCGTTGAGCTAATCTCACAGGTAAAGAAACATGTGGCCGCAGAACTAAAAAAGGTCTCGTTATGATTCTCCAATGCAAAACAAGGAATAAAACAAGGATTTCTAAAGGGGATGCCTTTGGGAAAAAGGTGTTGGTTATAGATTTGTTGTTGACAAAACTCTCAGTTATTATGGTTACAGCTGGATTCGTCTGCATATCTGGAAACCTGAGTCAGGGAGAGTGCAGCACCACTTTTGGCCAGAATTTTACATGTTGCTCCTTTAAGCAACCTTTTCCAAATAACTTTGTCATTTTGGATTTCATTGATGAAGTCAATGAAGTCCAACAATGTTGTTGCATAATTGACAAATAATGTAATACAACTTGACAGAGTTTTGTGAAAACGGTTTCTTAACTTTGTCAAATAAATCGAACACTTATTTTTTGAGAGTACATACATGTATATGAATTTGGGTCACTAAATATAAATAGACCTTCAGCCCAAATATACTAAAATCAAAATGAATATTTTTGTTGTTTGCTATTCCACATAAACAAATCTCTATCCCAATTATGTGCTAAAACATAATACGTAACAAACGTAATAATGTATTTTATGATCATTTTTGCTTGATTGAACTGTTATTTCTTTTTTTTCTTTTTTTCTTGACTGACTAATTCTGGAACATTTATAAACATTTTGATTAGTGTACACTGTCAAATAAACCACATACATAAATAGATACTGAAGTTTAGAAGATTATTTCCACTTTATCGGCAGAGCTACGAGCAGCTGAAGCATTGCGGTTTTACAGTGTGTGTCCGTGTAGTGGCACAGAGTATTGACATCTGCAGTGACATGCGGGAGATTATCCTCTATGTGATTGTCAGACAAATTGGGGGTCAGCAGCGTTAACGGCAGAGGGGAAGTGCGGCAGGGGACCCGAAGGAAGTGTTCAATCGCGGGTCGCGATTCCCATTCGGGAACATCCACATTTCCAACTCCATCCAGCCAGCACGGTTCATCTCCCCTCTGCCCACCACGTCCTGCCCACAGCTGCCCGCCCTCCACTGGGACAGAACTGTATTATGGCTGGGTTAATTTACTGATTAATATCCAGCCACGAGATCCAGCTTTCCCCAGATGGCCAATTAAAAAGTACAACTGGCGGAGCATGGGGGGATGGCAGCAGGTTGCCCACAGGCCCGGGGCTGGAGGCTGTGACAGAAGGTGCTCCGGTTCTTGTTTGGGACGGAATGAGAGCGGAGAGGGTACCAGACCAGCCACCGCGAAAGGACACTACAGCTGAGCAGGAGTGAGAGATACTTCTCATGTATACACGTACACACTACTCAGTATATAAGAGAAATCAACAACTACCAATTGAATTATGCATGACCTAAACTTGAACTTTCCACTTTGAACCTATTGTTGAAACATGATTCTTGTACAGAATTATACGTGTCTCCAATACAAATACTCAATACCAACTGCTACTGATATTGACTCAATGCCACAATATTGAGAGGGAATTCCTCTAAATTATTTAATTTAGATCAGAACTTATTTTTCATCCACAAATTTGTATCTAAAAGAGACTTTTTTGGCTTCCTTTTCCTCACCCATTAGTAATTGTGCCATATATTAGCAGTGTATATAATAGAGCAGGCTGCATCTGAGCCGTGTTAATTTCACCATAATAAGCCTCACATTATGAGCCCCGGCTATATTTAGAGGAGGCAGGCCATTTGAATACAGGTCTTGTCTTAATAGTGACACAAAGCCTGGAAATGGGTTGGGGTCACCATGGAAACGCTGTAAATACAATGGACGCCTGCTACGAGCAAAGGAAGAGTAATTAATAACCGAATTGCAGAGCAGAGATAGAGGACTCTGTCACATCCTTAGAGCTCCTCTATAGTCCCCTGATAACACCCGCTCTAATCCCAACAGTTGTACATCCTCTGGGTCAGCTGCACCACACAGACCTGGGCTATTGGAGCTCACGTCCGCTCAATTGATGGGCCGTTTCATTATATAATTGCCTCTTTAACTTCCGTGTTCTCGTCGAGCGCTCTTTAAACTAAAGCTCAAGGTAATATGTGCAGAGGTATAATTCAGTAAATAGACATAATCTTTCTATCACCTCTAACCAACCAGGAGCAGGGTAAAGTGGTTTCTGAAAATAAGACGTGGCAGCTGCTGTAAATCTTGACAGTAAAAGTCAATTGCCCTTATATATAGTTATATGTACATCTAATCAAGAGTAACGCATGTAGATACTGTATTTAAATGTCTCAGTCAGAGAATATACAGCGTATCTACTATATTTGAATTTGTTGCAACCAATCTGTGAAAGCAAATGTGTTTAATTTGTAATCCTAGTACCTATATAGATAAATAGATACTTTATTGATCCACCATAGGAGAAATTCAGGTGTCCAGCAGCAGAAACACATCCATCCATACGAGTCCTGCCATGTCCCGTCCTGCTTCAAATCCTCTGTCGTTGTTCCCGTTCCCAAGAAGACCAGGATCACTGACTACAGACCTATGGCACTGACATCTTATTTTTTTTGTTTATATTTTAGAAATGTATGTAGATATTTATTATGCCGTATTCTATTCTCTACTTTTGACTTGTTTGCACCGAGAGCCGAAGCAACTTCCTAGTCTAGAACTTTCTGTTACTTATATGGCAATAAAAATGATTCGGATTCTGATTCTGATAAAAGAAAACATTTTAATGAGAAAATGTATAGGGAGCTGGCAAGATTTGTCTGATGATTTTGCCAAAATATGGTGAAATGGCACCTTGCATGAAGGAGATTAATAGCGATAAATAATAGCAATATATTATAAAGATGTAGCAATAAAGAAATTGGATTATTATTTATTACACTTTTTTCTCAGAAGTAATACATTCTTTATGTCCCAACAGAAAGAAATAAACAGTAAAATTTCACGCTACAACATGCTGTTTTCATCTAATTAGAAAACATGTAATGTGCAAGTCAGAAAGAGCCAATCTGAGGGGTCCTCTCTTTTTAAAAGTCTGATCCAAAGATTCGTCAGAGGCAAAAACCAGACGCATGTGAAAACTAGTGATAGAACTAAAGATAGAACTCGAGACCAGTTACATAGATTGTATCACCAGTTTCTTTTTTACTGGATTGAAAGTTAGGTTGCCTACATTTAAGATACAATAAATATATAATTATAGCAATACTAATCAGCAAATATACAATGTCACTTATGAGTGATTGGAATCCTGTATATGCCAAATTGCAACAGTTGTATAGTAACAGGCCCAGTGTCAAACCATCCAGGCAGAGTTTGGTCACATCTACTGCTGTCACAAAGCCACCGTCATTTGATATCAAACATAGGTCCTCCAGGCAGCTCCAGACAGCCAGCCTTTAAGCTGCCACCCTCCCCGTCAACCGGGTCCTGGGTGCACAAAGCCCGCTATGATTACCTTACAAGAGGGAGCGCTGCTTTCTCACCTCCGATCTTTGAACTTACGGCTGTACACTACGGCGAATCAAAGTAAACAGAGCCATCCTGCCTGTCGTCGCCTCTGAAGTGCGGGAGATGTGAGAACACAACATGACTGACCCTCTTCTTTCATATCCCCCCTTCATAAAGATCCTACCGCCAAGTGAAGAAAAAAACCCTACAACACAAAAAAGGCGCAGGAGACTAGGCTGTGCGCACTTATTATAGGGTCACCGGTGAGATCATGGGGAGAAGGTTGCCCAAATTCGCAACTCGTAATTGAGAAACAGGGGTCGGTGATTACAAACGTATAGGACAGTGGTGGTGGCGGCATCACCTCTATGTACCGATAAGACAAAACACCAAGAAAGTAGGGAGGAGGATGAGAAGGCTTTGGAGGGGTGGAATATTGCATGGTCCATGCCGGTTCACCACTGCGATAAAGAATGAAGACTTAATTAAGTGAACAGCCAGATCTGGACGGCCGCGCTACATCAGGGCGGTGGAAGTCTCTTTATGTAATTAGATCAATTGGCCGTGAAGCTGAGCACCTTCATCCCACACAAGTGTTCTTGGAGTGGGCCCTGAGCCGAGTCCTGATTACCTTTTGATTGTTAAGGCAAAATTAGAATATGGTAAACCGCAGCGCCACAAATCCCTCATTTCCACGTTAAGATTTTGTTTTAATTTTGGCTTCACTGCGAAAGTTCGACTCAAGCATGTCATGAATAGTTTTGTTATTTCATTAATGGTAAATGTGCTTGTCATGCTTAAATCATTAGTGGTAATTAATGGTTTCTGTGATAATTCCCCTAAGTGGTTTTTACGCCGTCTATAAATTAGCTTAAGTTGGACTCCTTGTCGTTTCAAAAACAAGCTTGGTCTCTCCGTTAAGAACAATGTGTAATAGGAAAGCAAAGTAAATGCTTTAAATTTTTACAAGGTGAGGATATTGATCAGAGTCACAAACAGAAAAGCATAATATACTGACTCAATTCCATGACAATTTACGAGCAGTCGAGTTCTGCAATGCTCATTCTGTCTATAGAACATTTGGCAACTTGCATAAATATAAATGGCGATGTATAAAAAGATATTGTATTATTGCTTGGATAAATTTCACAAGCTTAAACCTGCACTATGTAACTTTTATTTTGTGGGGAGTCTGCCTTTTGTAGGTCTCCATGATGATACCATTGCCTAAAAACTTTCACAGTGTGACAATATCCAGAATTCTATGTATCCAATTTCATTTTTAGCTAAAAAGACAGATTAAGAAATTCTTCAAATGTATTTCTTTGCCTATTCTTTAACTTGACCTGGATGTGTCACTGGCTCATCTTGAAGTTTTAGGGCTGCAATTATCTTAGTTGTGAGTTGTTCGTATTGCAAAATATACAAGATTTTACTGTTTCAATTTGACCCAGGAAAAGTAAGTGAGAAAGTAGAGACCATACACACAGTGACATCAAGCCAACCCAATCATTCTGTATGATTGGTTGCTCCGGTTATTGCTAAATTCCTACCGCTCAGGTGTCCTGACCAAGCATCAACCAAGCATCAACATCGGTCGCCAGCGCTACACCGTGGCGACCGATGCTCCTGACAGGTTGCCCTAGTGGCATTGCAGGAAGGGACAAATAAAAAGGACAATTTGCCCTACAGGAATGAATAAAGCGTGTACCTTAATGATACAAATCGGAATTTATCAATTAAACTGTAATTAAGTCATACGGCAGAACATTCCAATCAAAGCAATACAGTGTCCATTTCAAAACATACACACATTGTTTTGCAGTCAAGGTGTAGTGTTGTTTGGTAATGCTCTCTTAAATAACACCCTGGAGTGGACACCCCTCCCATGCTTTTCCCAGGGGAGGAGGGGAGCAAGTCTGGTCTGCGTGGCCCACTGGAGCAGCGGAGTGCCTGTGTCGTCTGCCTGTCTCTCCGGTGGCAGAGACACTGAGGGATGGGCCTATCGTCCAGGGGAAACGGCTTGTGTCGGCCGCCCACGCCGCTCCTCCTCTGTGTGAAATTGGCTGAGAGGATGTAGACATATTCCATGCACTGATCCATAGCCACGTATAAACAAGAGAGGATCCAGCTCGCACTCCTAGAAGGTCAGGAAGCTCCGGCGTGAAACCGTAAGTGACAATGGCAGCTCTGCGCTGGCTAACGGGCTGACCCCCCAATACTTTGTGAGCACGCCTATGTGCTTGTATGTGTACTGGCCCAAACTCAGAGGGATGCACTGATATTTAGTGGCCAGATGCCAACTTCATCAACAATTCTACTGATATGCAGTAGGATTCATTTTGAGCAGGAGAGCAAAGAGTTTGTAAGCGCAGGACTGGAGAACCATGACCGAAAGGAACTTTTTCACAGAGCCATTTGGTGGTTTCTACAATATAGTTGTGTCATCCTCTCGAATGTGAATGTAACTGTCGGTACGAAAAATTCATTTCTGTGAAGATGTTCTCCAGGGGCTTCACTTGAGCTTTGTTTTGGTCAAATGGATAAAAAAATACCATATTCACTGACCTTTTGGGATACAAACAACTAATCCAATAATCCAAAGAATGATCGGCCAGCTAATCAATTATCAAAATAATAACAGCCCCAAAACTCATAATCCCTCAAAGATGCTTCATATTCCATTATTAGAAGCAAGGCAACCAGTACAGTATATGCCATCAACCCCTCCGACCACCACCAGCCATTCACACACACATACCAGAATCATTCTAACAAATGTGGGTGAAGTGTCTTGCCTAAGGACATAACGACAGTTTGGGACTTTACAGCCGCCCCACAGAGGCCTCCCATCACAGTACTAACCAGGCCCTGCCCCACACAGCTTCAGAGGTCTGACAGGAGTGCCACCAATGTCTGCTTACAAGAACTAACCAGTCCAGAGCTGGAACTGCAGATATACAGATAACAGATAACAGCTGTGGCTCTAATGTTGGGCGTGGAGCACAGCTAAGATACATGTAGCACTCTCTTTTGAGCCACACAAAAAAAATGGAATAAGAAAACATCTTTCAAATAACTTTTAGCATAACTACTTGAACATGTCACGGATTTCTTTTCCATTACTATACCTATACTTCGCACCACTCCCCTGTGCTGTGTAGAAGAGATCTAGATCCCCCATCAACCAACGGCTAAGACTGCACGGTGAGATCTATGCGTGAAATCTGATTGCGGTTGCAGTAAAATGGACTAGGGGAGGCATGAATGTAATTAAAGTGGCTGACACTTTTATGCCGGGTAATGGGCGTCCGGGGCCCAGCTATTCCCTGACGAGCTCCCCTCACAGTATGGAGTACATTTTAATACGCCACCACACAATGACTTAAATGCAACTCTCAAGGCCTTCATGGAGATGTAATATTGATGTGTAAATAGGATAAATGCCAACATCCAGGGGTTTAAGGGACATATTAAATAAACAGTGCCTAACACACAATGTAGAAAGCCTCTCGAGCGTACGGAAACGGCAATGAAGGAGATTGCATCTGATTTACAATGGAATTACATATCATCTCTTCTTAGCAGTGGAAACATTTCCATTGCAAAACACCATTACAGATGTTGAAACCAACTTATTCCGAAAATTAGCGGCAATTGAGAGCAGAATAAATGGTAGTGTTGCAAGGTGACATTAATGTTGAGGAAAAATGAGACAAGCAGCGAGCCAAGGCCTAATCAGTAATGTATTTGTTAACGCAGGTAAGAAGGCACAGGCTTTGTAGATCACACCAGGGCTGATAATGAACAAGTTAATAAAAGAAAAGGTACTTTGGAATACTCCTTGACCACCCAGCTCCTACAATTTAATCTGTAATAAATAATCCAGCATCATTGCAGGATGGCATCTCATAATGGCAAATGAAATATGCTGGTATGATAGGTACAATAAATCTAGATTTTCCTATGGTTCCCTCAGGCTAGGACAATATGCAACTATAGTGCTCTCTGTCAGGAAGAGCCGATCTCAGAGACGTCATAAAATCTAAATGGGCACTAATTAGGCAAGCCTTCCCTCTCACACTTACTATTTCTATTGACATTTTCGGCGCGCCACCCCCCTCCCTGTGCCCCGCCATAAGTCACTGAGAGCAGAACTCCCAGGACTGCAGAGCACAGGGCTGTTAAAGGGAAGTTCAACTTAGTAGTAATGAATAAATCTGCCCTCCCATTCAGAATTGTTTCCTTTGTCTTGGACCCAAGCATATTCATGTTCCAAGAGGCAATTTGCAATGTCACAACAGCAAATGCAATGCCATTAAAAACATAGTAATCATTGTCACTAGTAAAGTCAGATTTAATTAGAATCGGATGTCTTGTATAATTGTGAATGACTTATTGCCCAAAATGATCAAAATTATAGACATTATTGTTTAATAATGTCTGTATTTCAGTTATATTGCAGAGACGTACCGGTGACAGGTAAAGATCATAAATATATACATATGCATTCCTGGTACTTCAAATTAATAAAAGTCTAATGCATGCTTGGCACAGACCTGCTTGTTGAACATATGCTGCAAGCATGGCTAAGCCATCTGGCTCAGAGTCAAGTATTCCCACCAACTGTAGTCTTATGCTACCTGACAGAGGAAAAGCTTTATTCCCCTGGCATCCAGGGCACAAATGGAGAAATATTATTGAAATGATTATCTGCATCAAGACTCAGATTTGGGCTGACATTTCGCTGGCTCTGTGTAATCCGAGGGGTTGTCTAGGAGAGGGCGGAGAGGGGGTTTGCCGGTAAGCCTTGGCGGATGATTAATGAAGCCAGGATACTGGGTGGACCCAGCCCACCTCCACTCAGACCCAGGGGCCGAGCGTCGCATATGAAATTGGCCTCTGCTGCTCATCTCCTTGGGAGAGAGCACTGATGATCCCCCCGTCAACAGCACCAGGCTGCAGCCACGAAACACCAGCCCAAAGCCCTGCCAGATCCAGGCTTAGCGCTTCTGCAGTAGCAGCAGGAGAGCAGTGTGCGGCAGAGGGCCTACACCTGTTCAAAGCTCTGCTCTACTGCTGCATTAGATTCTGCACTAAGAAGTTCCACCGGAACTCCCTGAAAAGAAAGTTTACGTATGAACATCACAAGAGAACAGTGGATCAGACTTTGAACTGTCCATGACAGTCTCATTTTGAAAGAGCACAGCTGTTATATTGCACAGCCTATTCTTGTACCTGCTCTTACCCGACCAAGCTGACTTCTACGAGTGGATTTATCCTTGTGCAGGAAGTAATTGAGAAAAGTAGAACAGCTTTAGTCTGTGTGTGCTGATGATTAGTCATAGACAGTCTGGCTTTGTTAAATGTGTGCAGTAATTAATAACTGCAGTAGGACAGAACAATCGCGTGCTCTGACGTGTGTTGTAAAATACAGAGAGGGGATTTCTAAATAGTGTAAATTAGCTGTTTACCTATTATGATCCAGCTCCTGACACCACAGCCTCCCTTTTCCTTCAGAGCAGGACCAAAGAGAATGATTAATTGCAAGCTCACGGGTTTTACAGCTTCAAGAGTAAATCAACTTCCAAAGAAGTGCTAACTTGCTAAAATATAAACTAATTTTAGGCCCCAGATATTAAAATATAATCCATCTTCTTCCTCCACAGGGAAAGCTAATTAGAAAATGTGACTGGCATAAGAGAGGAGAGGTGGAGGAATGGTGGGATTAAGCTGCGAGCAGAAAATCACAGGCTCCTGAAATCTGGGGATTTCTATACACTTCAGATCAAGAGTTCCCCATTGTGGCGAGGTGTCACAGTTCACCACAAAAGACGAAGGACTGCTCCAGAAATGTGCATCAGCGACAACATACTGTACTTTTAACTGTGCTAATAGTCTCTCAACTGCAGTTATTATTAAAGTGTAATGTTTTAGGGTATTTAAACCCATGAATGGTTGGTTGGGGCAAGAGAGTGTATGAGCATATGGTAATAGAAATGTTTTCAGTTAAAGGCGCTATACCCGTTTCTGCAATGTTTGAATGTTTAGCACCGCCCCCCAACTCGCTCAATGGCTTCTCATTTCCCCTACGCTCTCATAACACAGAGCCACCTAGTTTTATTTGCGATCTGATACATATGCTAACATTAGCATTAGCACAACTTCTTGTAAGCTGTGCAACAATCACTGATGAAATGGTACTAAAGCAATGCACTGCTAACACAATATATAAGTAAAAGAATACCGCTAGTTTTGCGTCCGAATGTATTAATTTAAAACCTTAGAATATATTCTAATATTTAATTATAATTTGTTATAGAGCTCCTCAAAGCAGCAGCAGCAATTCTTCCGATCATTTTTTCTTGATAACAGAACTCTCAAACCAATAATGACCGAAGCCCCAATGCAACCTCTGTTTGTAATTCAGGTGTGTAAAATACTGCCATTACTCTGCAAGTACAAGCTATCAGCACCTGTCACTATCACTCGTCTGTGTAGAGAAGCCAACGGAGCTAGCGGAGCTAGCCACGCTCAATAAACAACTACATATCAATCAATCAACACCATTAAACGTCAATCGGACAATACAGTACACATATACATCCTTAACACACATGCACGGACGATTTCAGAATTTGCTGTTAACGTTTTCATGTCAAAAATACTGTTTCAATGTGACAAAAAGCGATTGCGAAAAACCCGGAAGTTACCATGAAACAGCTAGCTAGCTTAGCTGTTACCTGCCTAGCACGTCCCGGTGAAACCTTTGGGAGCTCACTATTTTATTTGCAGTCATTAAATACATTTCGAATTACAAGGGTTGTCTAATATTTGTTCACATTTTTTTATTCAATTATTTTGTTCATCATTTTTTATTTTAGAATTATATTCGAATTTTGAAGTCGAAGTCCTGGTGTTAAGCAGCGCTGTAGAGGCTAGAGGACGCAGGCTGGTCGCTGCTCGTTCTGTGAGCGGAGGAGAACGAGCGGCCCGCTCAGACTCCACTCAGCACTTTTCACTGCTTGTAATTCTTACACAGCTGAATCAATTACCTCAAGTTTTCAATTAAATTATGTATTATGATACAACTTGTATGTAGT